CGCCGGGATAGCCGACCCGAGTAAGCCGCGAATCATCGACAACCACAAAGAAGACTTCGAACGAGTCCTCAACATCAACGTCACGGGCGTGTTCCTTGGCATCAAACACGCAGCGCAGGCCATGATCCCGGTCAAAACCGGGTCGATTATATCAACAGCGAGCTTGGCATCGTATGTGGGTGGCTCGGCCTCGCACGCTTACACTTGCTCGAAGCATGCGGTGGTGGGGCTAACGAAGAACGCGGCGGTGGAGTTGGGGCAGTTTGGGATTAGGGTGAACTGCTTGTCGCCGTTTGCGATGGTGACGCCGTTGGCTACGAGGTTTGTGGGGTTGGAGGGGGAGGAGTTTGAGACGGCTATGAACTCAATGGCGAATTTGAAAGGGGTTACGCTTAGGACTGAGGATGTGGCGAATGCGGCTTTGTTCTTGGCGAGTGATGAGAGTCGGTATGTGAGTGGCCATAATTTGTTGATTGATGGGGGCTTTGGTATTACTAATCCCAACATCAAAATCTTTGAATACCCTGAAAATTAGGTGCCTTTTGTCGGTACAAATAGCCTCCCACCATGCTATTCAACAATTTGTTACAAACCAATAATATAAGGAGCTTTAAAAGTTAAGAAACTAAATTAATTTTTTTTATTTTAAAAAAGTGACTATTTTGATTTATGATTGAGGGTAAAATGACTATTTTGCCCTTTCGATGAAGCTAACCATTTTTGAGAGTTTTCTAATTATTTTTGTATTCTACTTTTTTTCTTCATTTTAATTTCTAAAATACTATAAATAATTTCACTTAGGTATTATCATCATATAATTATCTCGTTCTAATTAATAAATGAGAATGGAGTTTGAAGTATGCTAAATAATAATAAAATGACTTAAAAGAAATAACAATCACAGACGAGATGAAATAATAAAGCGTTTACTTAAAATTTGACATCCAAATATTTAAACAGCCATAGTACAAGGACAAAATAAAACACGAAGGTAGGAATTAATTTGAACTTAGTTGAAATAACCCTCATTTAAGTGGGTGTTATTTTAATCATCAACCCAACTTCTAAATTTGAAATTCGAAAATTAAATAAAAGGCATCACTTATTTTCAGCGAACGTGGTTATGGTCATAAGCATGGAAGGATTGACAACACTGTAGCCTCCATCGACCACAAGATTGAGTCCACTCACATAGCTGGCCTCGTCACTAGCTAAATAGAGGGCAGCCCTGGCTATGTCATTGGCTTTGAGGACGCAACCCTTGAGATTGGACCAGCGGTTGACCATGTTCTCCATCATCTCTGCCTGCATCGGATCTTTGGGCCCTGCAATCCCAGTGGCCACGACGAAAGGGGCGACGCAATTGACTCTGATCCCGTGCTGCCCAAGCTCGGCCGCTAGGTTCCTAACCAACCCCAACACAGCACATTTGGAGGCTGCGTATGGGTGCGTTGAGAGGCCTGCAATGTTGGTGGTTGCACTGGTTGTGAACAAAATGCACCCTTTTTTCTCGGGTATCATCACCCTCGCTGCATGCTTTGCCCCCCAAAATGCCCCCATCACGTTCACTCCCAATACCTTCAATGTCATTTGATAATACAGTAATTGATCAGCCTCCAAAACTCTAAATTACCCATTTTTTTCTTCAACCTTGACAAGCCAACTACCTTTTCTTGTATCCATTTACTTAATCCTGCCCTACTTAAAATTTAATACTAATTAATTATAACCACTCTAGTAATTAAAATATAATACTAATTAACTATAACCATTCTAGTAATTAAAATATAATACTAATTAACTATAACCATTCTAGTAATTAAAATTTAATACTAATTAATTATAACCACTCTAGTAATTAAAATATAATACTAATTAACTATAACCATTCTAGTAATTAAAATTTAATACTAATTAAGTATAGCCATTCTAGTAATTAAAGTTTAATACTAATTAATTATAACCATTCTAGTAATTAAAATTTAATACTAATTAATAATAATTAATTGTAATCCCTCTTGGTGTTGGGATCTCACAATCCACTCAGGACACTCTTTCACTTTTTCAATTAGTGTGGGACTTCAAATCGTTTTCGTTTGAGGCTTAGCGTCCTTGCTCAACCTCCTTACTAACACATCCACCACTAATTAGCAGATATTGTTCTCTTTAGGCTTTTCCTTTCGGATTTCTCCTTAAAGTTTTTAAAACGTCTAGGGAGAGTTTTCCGTAAGTGTTTTTTGTTCTCCTTCACAATGTGGGATATGAGAATTAGACAAGAATAACCGTGTAAAATTAAAAAACATACCTCACATCAATTTTTTTTTTTTTTGAAGGAAAATTACAACTTAGATTTTGGAAGTATTTTTATTATTTACATGTCAAATAATTTAATAAACCTTTTTATTTTATTTTGTCCTCCAATTATGATGATGAGGCTGCGTGTCGATTATTTATGGATTAAGGAATAGTTAAATACTACCTTGTCCAAGTCAAATTTTGTAACGTCCAATATTCCGCTAAACGGACGGTCGATGACGCCGGCGTTGCTGTACATAATGTCCAGCTTACCGTGCAGGCAGACAGCAGCGTCCACTAGATTTCTGACGTCTTCTTCCTTGGACACGTCGCAGTGGATATAGCTTACGCCTTCGCCGAGTTGGTCAGCCATTTTTTGGCCGACTTCATCTTGGATATCGGCGATGACGACTTTGGCTCCATTTTCATGGAAAATTCGCACTGCGCTAGCTCCGATTCCGCTTGCACCGCCGGTGATAATCGCCACCTTGCCTTCCAGTCTGAAAACCCCGAAATTACACAGGTTAATCAATATAATTAATTAAATGAATGGAAAATTGTTACCTTCTGAGAGGGGTGGCAGCAGAGGCAGTAGAACTCATCTTATTCAACAAGAAAGTCAGAAATTAAGGAAGTGGTTGATGGGAGAGTAAAAGAGAGAGCTTTGGATTTATTCAAAGGTGTGATTTTGTGAGGGTGGCCATTCACATATTTATAGGACAGATTGTTCTGATCAAACTAAATTATTTTTCGGTCATTCATTATCATCATTATTATTGCTATTAAATTTAGTTGAGGATACAGAAGCGCCTCATATTTATCTTTTAAGGCACTCACCTACTTTGACGTGACCAGCCCTTCGACGTGACCGGAGTTCTCTCTTTCTCTGTAAGGTGTCACCCTTCGACGTGACCAGCCCTTCCGCTCGGCGGCTTTCCGATGGCTTCTCGACTGTTCGGCTCGGCTTCTCCAATTTGGGCCTGGTTTCCACCGCTTCAACCCTTTCAAACCTGTTTCTGGCCTGATTAAGGTAATTGAGATCATTTTACGGTCGTATTTCACGTTTATTAATTAATTAATTATTAATTTAATTATGAAATACTAAAGGAAGGTGAGGAACAATGTGATAGGAAATGAACCGTCGCAACATTTGGAGCAACTCTTGAGGAACATGATCTTACGTTAAGCTAAATTAGGGAGTACTTCGACCAAGACTAACCAAATAAGTAGTTTTACTATAGGAAAGACTATAAATTGTTTGCATTGTTATTATATTTACCATGTATGATGATGTATGAGTATGATGTTTGAGCTATGATGCATGATAATGTACTTAATTTATATTTCGATGTATGACGTACATGATATGTTTGATGCACTTAATGGCATTATGATGAGTATGATGATTGTATGATGTTTATCTTAATATGTTGATGTTTTCCATATTAAGCATGCTATATGTGATAACAAGTGTCATATTGTATCACGTAGATAGATCGACCTAAGACACAACCCTAAGAGCATGAAATGATATTAATATAAATATCCAACGAGCATGTGTTACTTAATCTAATAAAGAGAAGAGACTGGATGGTTGTGTCAGAAGATATGTTAAGATGGGAATTAGAGAGACCTCATGCATATTGTATGTACATAAGCATAGGGATACTTCCCCTAGAGATGATGAGTGCGGATGCGCACAGTATGTCGAGCAGGGTGATCATAGGGAGCATGTCACCAGGAGTTTCATTGACCTTTGGATATCGCAACGGAGTAGCTTGACCAGAGAGCATGATTGCATGTGTTTGCATTTAGCATGTCCCTACAATACGATCACTTACTAAACATTGTTTGAAATACTTAGGCCGTGTGCCATATCATTTTTTTTCTCAAGTAAAGGCAAGACGCCCATATGCAGATGACGGCGACATCGAAAGTAGAGACTGTGACACATGCATAGAATATACGCATATTTAAATTCTTAATCTTAGGTTAGAATAGGTTGTTTTGTCTTTCATCATTTTAAATTATTTTATTTTGTATTAGTATTTAATTTTTTAATTCGAGTATTTTGTTTGAAACACGGAAGATCGACCAATATTTTCTAGAAAATGAAGTTGTTTTAAGCATTTTCGACGTTTATGTTACAAATGACATGAGACATTAATAGAGATTGAGAAACTTAAGGTCTATTTTCTGTATTAAAACAACATTTTAATTCCATAATTTAAAAAGGTAAATTGCTTCTTCCATAAGTATTTAAAAATTACTCTTTAATATTTTAACCAAATTAATTTTATTTATTTAGGTTTATTTTCATATATTTTACTCACACATCACCATCACCATCACTAGTTGGTTCTCTTTTGATGACGTAATAATTTTCTGTTAAAATAAATGAAAGGAGTGGATATATATCACATTACATCGTACATGGAAGTTGGTGAAGCGTTTTAAAGAAATAAATAATGATTATAAAATGATAGTAATAATATAATTTAAAAATAAACCTATTTTTTTTCCCCTCCCTGCTGGGTACTCTCTTTCATATTTTTCTATTTCTCTTCCTTGCAGGCCCATAAAAATAGCCCAAAACATAGGCCCATTAACTTAAACAGGCTGTCGTCGCTTAATGCTCAGATTAGTTATTGATTATATTTGTATTAACCATTCATGTACAAAACCAGACACGTTGGTTATGGTGAACACGTGCGAGGCTCACTTTCGCTCAACCCAGCCCAATGCGACGCCATTCGCAGCTTCAACTTGAAGAAATCCAACTCCGGTTAAACTGAGATGCGCTGTTCGATGAGTGGGTTTCTTTTAATTTCTACTTCCAGATTTTTCTTCTAGTTACATTCATTCTTTTGCGGGATTGCTGTTTTCAGCTGTTCTTAGTGGTTCACTGTAGTGGATGGTAATTTCGGGGGCCGATTTCTGCTCGATTTCCTGGGTTTTCTGTCGATTAAAAGGTGAGGAAATTTTGGGAACAGGGTACAAATTGTTGAATATTTTTCGTATCTTTGTTTTCGTTGTGTTGAATTATAGCTCTCGGGGGAAATGGAATTCCTTTGAATGCGCTAGGGTAAGCACTTGAAATTATTTAGATAACCGGCGGAGTTTCCCTCTGGAGCTTCCAATTTTTGGGTATCTGTTCAATTTACGTCTCGAATGCTTAATTTGATGAAGAACATTGCGGAAGTTATTCCGAGTTCTTTCTTGTAGATCCATTAGGAATCAAATTCTTCCTGATTATGTTCTCTCTTGTTTCTTGTTATAATTATGGAGTTATATTGATGCATAGCCATGTATATGCAGCTATTGGGAAGAACGGGTAATTTACTACTTTTTGGAAACCACAAAACTTGGTTGTGATTATGTCAAGACCTTGGGTTTTTGTCTGTCTGTTGTTACTCATCGTGTTCTCCTCACAATTTGAGTGGAGGCAACAGTATGAGAACGAGCTGGAAGCAGGCCCAAACGCCTCACAGACAGAACCCCATATGTCTGAAAGAGAGGAAGCTGTAAAAGAAAAGGTGAAATTCCAGTTTTCTATCTCTTTTTCCCTTCAAGTTTGCAAAACTACTTGAATGTTTCAGGTGTTTCAATTTCTTTCAATGCTTTAAATAATTAGATTTTCAATTGTTGATAATAATAACCATATATGCATTGGGTTTTTATAAACTCTCCACTCCTACTCTTGAAGGTGATATCCCATATTGGAGAGGGGAACGAAGCATTTTTTATAAGGGTAAGGAACCTCTGGAAAGAAAAGTCCAAAGAAGACAATATATACTAGCGGTAGACTTAGGCTGTTACATATATTTTGTTCACGTGAGCATGTGAACATTTTGGTATTTTGGCTTAGAATTCAGTCTAGAAGGGAGTGTTCCCTGTCTCTCGAAGTGCTAAGGTGTTCCTCGAGTGTGATTTTGCTGTCTTGAGATATTGTGAAGATGACTGATAGGTAAAATTGGATAGTCACCTTCACCGCTAGTAAATATTGTATAGTAAGGTAGACGGCAAGATTTGCTAAAATGTTATTCGAAGATTTGTTTTCGACCATAAGGAAAGGTAGAGAATTTTTCAAGCATAATACCCTTTTATTAGTTTTGTTGCTCTTGAAAGCTTTTAGAGAAACCCTGAATCTTCTTCAGAATGCGATCTTTGTGGGAATCCTACCAAAAGTGTTTGAAGCTATGATTTGAAGACTTACATTAGAAAATACAGGAATTTTCCCATCATTTTCTCCTATAACACTGTTATGAGTAAGCACAGTACTATCTAAGGTTAACTAATGTGAGATCCTACATTCGTTGGTACATTCGTTGGGGAGGGGAACGAAACATTCCTTATAAGAGTGTGAAAACCTCTCCCTAATAGACACGTTTTAAAACCGTGAGACTAACGATGATACCTAACAAGACAAAACAGACAAATGTACTAGCGGTGGACTTAGACTATTACATTCCTGCTTGTGTTGGGCCAAGCCAACTTTACTACGTTTTCTTGTTTGGTTTCTCCATTTTATTTATGACTGGTCTTGTTGGTTTCTAATATGATGTGTAAATATAATACTAAAAGTTCTTTCAATGCTACTGTAGATTATCCTTTCCCAGGAGAAAAACATCCGGAGATTGAATGAGGTGGTGCAGAGTCTTAGAAGAGAGTTGGTCGAGTGCAGGGGTGAAGAACAGGAGGCAGTGAATAGGACGGTGAGGCCTATGACTGAGCTTCTAACAGTGTTCAACCAGCAGCCGATATTAGATGATTAGGTCCCATGCCACTGACCACCACCCGTTCTTGTTATTACACTTTGATAGGACTTTTAACTGTAGATGTAGAACAATGTGCCCTTCTTCAACTCTATCCATCACTCGTAATTATATATATCAAATCTACGCTCTATGATTAATTAAGCTAAGTTGATTGCTATTTACTCTTATTTGAAAATAATAAAAGTATAAAATTGTTGTACAACAAACTGCTATTTATGTATATATTTGTTCTGTCTGCTCTCTGTACCCAAATTTTAGGGCTGGTCTATAGGTATGCTACTAACTAAATGCACTTTACTTCCATTCAATGGGGATTGGTTTCAATATTCAAATTCCAAGTTTTACAGTTGGGGGGCTTTGAATTTCTAGCCTTCAATCACTTTTTAAATTTTATTTTATGCAACTCTGCCCGAAGCTGATTTTCTGGGGGGTTTTGTAGTAAGCATGTGAGTAAAAACAAACCAGATTTTTAAAGAATGTTTTGTTCCTCTCTCTAATTAACGTGGGATCTCACACAATTTTGTTTAGAAATAATATGAGTGAAGACAAACCATATTCAAAGTATGAGGGTTGGTTTGAAGACACATGGATAATATGGTCTTGTCATAGAGGATACATGGAAATGTTGAGACCATTAGGAGCCAAATTAGGTAAACAATTCGATGTTAGGTGGTCTCTTAATAAGTAGAAAAAGTTCTCACTTTTAAAACGCCGGAAAAAGAAGAAGAACGATGATAAAAGATAAAAGTAAAGTAGATACGTGTTTAATAATATTTAGGGTTTTAGACCAAAGTAAAAAACATAGCGGCATAGGAAGCGAATAGGAGAGGTAGGAGTTGACATTATTGATTTCATGAGAGCATTGGTAACGACCTATCATGAGAGCATTGGGCTCACATTTATTGAATATATTCATTTCATGCACTAATTGGATGTGCATTATAATTAATATTGTGATTTCTTATTTAATTTTAGATAATAGAGAAACACCCATATTTATTATTCTACACTCCCAAATTAATATTAACAATATGGGTCTAATTTTATGCAAATTTCCTTTTAATCCTTTCCCTAAATTGAACCAATTCAATTTATGGGTTAAAGTCAAATAAACATTATTGTATGAATACCAAACAAGCTTTGTATTTCAATATTATTTTCTCCATTCTCACTTCATAACTTATGTTTTCATTTTATATATATATATATTTGTGATTAAATTACTCTTATTGTTTCCCTTCAAATAGTTTATGATGCGAATTAAAGAATATAGATTATATATTTTATGGTGTTGAAAAAGTTGACTTGAAGAGAGCATAAGACAGAGAAAATTAATTATCATTATTGAGAGATCCAGAAAATGAGGGTCAACTTTTGTGTATATAGAGAGGATTATTAAAATAGGATTTAAGAGATATATACCTCTATTTCTCTCCTCTCATTTATTTAGCTTTCGTTCCACGAATTCGGCCAGTTAACCTAATTGAGTTGACGTCGTGCTCGAATGAAGATCATTTTCCAAAGAATAAATCTGCGAGTGAAAGAATGAAAGGTATTACTTTTTATTTAGTTATGTGAATACGTGTATTTCTTTTATTCAATGAATCCTAATTTTATTTAAAATTAAAAAGTATATTTTATTTTTTATTATTATTATTTCAAATTTGGAGGCCATATTTAATAATTTTTTTTGGCATGTGCAATTAACTCAACGGATCCTCACATTAAAATGTGGAAGGTCAATATCGGGAGTATTGACTAACTAAAAGGTAGGAGACGGGCAATAAAATTAAATACAAACATAAATAATTTTTTAATTAATTAATTAGAATTATGGACTTAAGTTGAATTTAAATTGATTTTTCCCTTAGCAAATAAAAAAATTTAGACCCTAATATTTGACTTGGAATAGAAAATATTAGCTTATTTATTAACCATTATTACAAGTCCATCCAAATACACAGTTTAAGTGGTTATATATTTATTAATTTTCCTCTTTCATAAAATAATATATATATATATATATTTCATACGTCTAAATAACTAAAGAAATATTTATGGATGGAAATATAATTAGATTCAAATGTATATATAATAACGAAAATGATAATGGGTCCATTTTGTTTCCATGTTTATCACAAAACGTGAATAATTAAATATGTGGCAGTTGTCATTCTTTCATCAAGTCGCAACAGATATTAATTAAGCTGTTTAATTCTATTTATTATTGCAGTTCGATCCAATTTATTTATACCCCCCAAAATTATCCCTTTTTTTTTATTTTTATTTTTTAAATCCATTTCTTTTTTAGGTATACCTATTTACTGAGGAAGAATACCTTCTTTTTACTCTCTACATTTTAAAACTTTACTACTTTTACCTCCAAATTATTACTAATTTAATTACCAATGTAAAATTTTAAAAATTAACTAATTGACGTGAACTATCTACTATATGTTCATTGTAATCACGCTCTATGATTTGCATAATGGTCGAATGGATTGTAGACGTAAATTAAAAAAATTACATTACAAGAATATAGTTACAAGTCCTTGCCACAATTGTTTGGCGGAACATGCCTCAATTATTAATTAGGTTCAGTTAAGTTTAGATAATCTATCTAAATTATTTACTTTCAACTATGATATACATACGAATATATAATGGCATAAAGAAATAAGATGATTTATTATTTTTAAAAAGAAAATAGAAATAAATAAATTGTTATTTTTAAAAACTTAAGAGGTAAAAAGAAAAAAGGATCGTGCAATCCATTTAATCTGAGGTGGCGTGTACCATTAAATTGGGGAGTAAAAGAAAATGGGTTGGTTATTATTTTAATAATAAAAATGTCATTTAAGTTTGGCGGAACATTGGCAGCTAATTCTTGGAGTTTAATAAAAAAATAAATGGGCGTCGGCAAACTTTCATTTCTGCAGCCAAAAATTACAATAAACACCGACTCTTAATGCAATCAATGAAACCCAAGGACTGTTTGGCTTTTCTTTTATAAATAAATCCCCTAATTACTTTCCTGCTTTTTTCTTCCTTTTTATTTTTTATTTTTTAATTTAATTTCCCACATTAATTCATTTTCCTGCCCCCCTTAATTTACACTCTGCCACCCATTTCCACAAAATTCATTTCTCTCTCTCTCTAAATTAATGAAAGAAATAATAATAATACCCATTTATCTCTTTCTTCCTTCTTCCTCTGCCTCCCACTTTCCCACCCTCCCTTTTCTTATATAAATCATTCCCCGGAGTCCTATGTTTACCACAAACTCACTCACATTTTCTCACCCTCCTCCGCCGCCATCGCCGCCGTCTTCTTTCCAGAACTTCAAGGTATATCCATATTACAACGTTTCAAGTTCTTTTTTTTTGTTTTGGAAGAGCCCTGAATTGGGTTTAAAGCTCTGTTTTTGTTTTCTTTTGAAATAGTGAGTAAGCGGCATTTTGTTTTTCCTTCCGTTTCTCTCATGTAAAATTGCTCCAAATTGGGTGTTTCATAGCTTGAAAATGAAGTGTTAAATCACTAATTAACTAAAAAGCTTAAGTTAGTGTTGATTATATCAATAATTAAGGATTAACTTGTAAAAGTACAAGTGGTTTTTCGACAGCATGTTATTGGTTTACCAAAAATAAGTGGAAGTTCATAATTGAGACGCCGTGTTTTTATTTTGATAAATTTGTGTTTTTTTGTTTCCCGATTGTAACAGAGACTAGAGGAGGAGAAAATGAGCAGAAGAAGCAGTGGAAGTGTTCCAAAGCTTGATTTGAAATTGAACCTGTCGCCGCCGCGGCAACATCCTTTGGGTTCATCGCCGAGCCGATCAGCGACTTTGTCGCCCACATCGCCACCGAGCTCTTGCGTGTCGTTGGAACTAAACCAGGACGACAGCAGTGCCGCTCTCCGATACTCCAGCAGTCCAGAAGCGACATCGATGGTGCTGGTCGGCTGCCCTCGGTGCCTGATGTACGTGATGCTGTCGGAGAATGAACCCAAATGCCCAAAATGCAAGAGCTCTGTTTTGCTCGATTTCCTCCATGACGGCGCCGCTTCAGGTCCTCCGTCGACGGCGGCCGCCAGAAAGATCTAAAGAAAATCACCCAAATCTAAACTGTCTTCAACTTCCATTTGGCTGTTAAATGTTCTTTTTTATAATTATTTTAGATGTGAAATTGAAAAGAAAATGGCGTAGCTTTTTGTTGAGAGAAAGTGTAAGAGCGGCCATTTTTTCTTTTTCTGAAAATAGAGTTGAGAAGCTGAATTAATATTAATTTTATTTAGATATTGAAAGAGCGGCCATTTTTTGGTTTTGTCTTCTGCAGAACACATCGTTAAACCATAATTTAACTCCTACTTGTAAGCACTACTGTTGTATGTAATCAAGTATAAATTAATTTTATTTTTCCAAGGGCCTTAAATTCATTTATATATATATATATATATATACACACATATGGGGGGCGAAAGAAAGTTGGGTGCATACTAAAAATAAGTAACAAAATTAAATAGAATTAAATGCAAAGGGTCCCATCTTCTGAATGAATATTACTTGAATTTATTTCAATCTTCCAAATAAAGAAGGATTTAGTACAAAGATTAAAAACCCTAAAGTGTAGATTAGAAAGGCATATAAATGCAAAGAGTAATTGATGGAAGGGCAGTTGAGATTAATACCAATTAAAATCCCCAACCCTCCAATTAATTCATTTTTGCATTTTATTTGGTATTAATAAACTTATGCTGAAATAATACGTGGATTAATTGGACATGCAATCATTCTAGCTTCTATTTATGTCCTATATTTAGGTCAACTCTATTTGGTTTCCAACTACTTTTTCCTCTCTTCCCTAACCCATTAATTGTTATAAATATTTTCCGCTCAATCCAACTTCTTATTTAATATACTTTTAACTTCTATTTAATACTTTCAAACCGTGAATCTATATTAATGGGTCAAACCGGACAATACTATCCATGGTTTAAAATTAGACTCTATTTATTATTATCCAAAATAAATATTAAATATTAAAAAAATAAATAGAAAGAAAAAAAAAAGCTTAAAATTGTTCAATTTTTATATTAAATAATTGAGAATTTGGAAAATTACCAAAAATATTAGGGACGGATCCACACAATTTTCTAGTAAAGGCCCAATTGATTGGAACATGACGGGCTTAGTTTTTTAGAATATGGAGGCCCACTTGTCGAAGGTTCCTACAGATTGAGGCCCATTTATTTTTCTAAGGCCCATTAAATATACAGTCATTTATTCCGAAATAATAATTGTTTTTCTTTGCCCCCCTTTTCCTGACCTATCGATTCCACAAACCTTCCAGTTTTCCTCTTTATTCCCCTCGTTCCGTCCATTTATCTTCTTAGATTCTTTTTTCTTCAAGTGTTCCATTTCCTTCACTCTTCGATCAGATCCTTGCTACCTGATCGTAGTTAGCCATTTTTTATTCATCTATGACGCTTGGTTCAGGAGGCTCGAGTGTTGTTGGTTAGTCTTTTGAATCTGTTCGTCAAAATTTGATTGATCTCAAGCTTTGTCTTTCTCATCCTTCAATTTTTTTTTTTTCTGATTTGACTATTTCATCGATATTTTTATTGATCGTTGATGGACTTGTGTTAATTGTTCAATATTTTAACTTTTATTTGACCCCTTTGCAAATATCTGTGCGTTGCATTCTCCGCCGTTGATGTATTTTCTTCTGTTACTCTTGTTTTTCTTTGTGTTCTATGAGATTCGGTTTGCTCCGAAATCTAAATGCTATACTTGATTTTGTAGGTCAGACTAGTTTTGGTGTGAAATAATGTTGGACCTTCGTGATTGAACTCGTCTTTACTTTATTGTGAATACTCGCCGTGGCTTATTTTGGATAGATGTCCGTTACATCGTTTTTTTTTTTTTTTTTTTTTTTTTTGGCTACTGGCTATTTTTTTATTTTGTNAACTAGAAACTCTGACACGTTCCAGACCGATGAATCACATTTTTTGTTGTTGTATAAATGCCTGTATCTCATAGCTGTCTTAATTACATGTATTCTTAGGCCTCTTCTGCATCATCTTGTATTTTGGCTACGTTTTAAATTCAATTTGTAATCACGAATTCAAGGTTAATTGATTTCATTAATTATCTCAAACATCTAAACGAGGAGAAAAATGGTCTGCTTATGACTGTTCCAGATTTTTCGTTACATACGTAGCGTACTTTAGAAAACTTTATGAAGCTTAGGATGGAGACTTGCTTTGGACGAGGCTCAATTGAACTCTGTAAACAAAAATGTAAAGAATGAGTAGAAGTTGTCTGTGATAATAAGAACGGTGTTGAACGACATTTTAGAATCTTTCTTTAAGTAAGTCAAAATTGGATATATGAGTTTTTTAATTTTTAATAATGATGATAATAGTTATTCTTAGTAATCCTGGATAATGCAGTTTGATGGTTTCTATCAATGCTTTTGTATTTAGATTGGGGATAATCCCTCATACTACTTCGAGGCTTGTGCCTCACCTCTTTAGACGAAAATATCTCAATGCTGCTGTTTACTTTTATACCATTGTTTGGATGTCACTTAAGCGTCAGACATGTAAAAAATTAACTCAAGCACTTTTTCCTCCAAGTTTGACTGAACAATAGACTTTGCAAATGATTGAACGGGCTCCTATGCTAGTTAAGCTTTCACTGAAAATTGTGCATTTTTCTTAAAATCAAAGTAGTTAATTTACAAATGTAATCTGTAATTTATATAACATGAGTAGGATGTGGTTGGGGGATTATCCTGCCAGCTTTTTTATCCCTTAGCCTCATTAAATAATTTGGAAAATGATGTTTTCATTGGTTTCCTTCGCTGTCTCCCAGTCACCTTCAGTGAGAGCCAATACGCCTAGAGCCTTCATCGCTTGAGTGATCAAGGGGTGCACACAATAAGTCGCACATTTTGAGTTGAAATTTGGCACCCAGAAATGTTGAGTTCATGGCAACCAATGTGAATGCTCTACTTAAGATACCTTGGCAGTCGGCCCTCGTTTTCCCTCTTTGATAGCAAACAAGTCAAAAGACTTCTACCCTAGAATGCTAGATATTGTATTATTCCTAGTATATTTACTGGCATATTTTGACCATATATTACCTCACCATGGATCATCCCACCATCGAAATGTGTTTATGAGTCATAAGTTGGTCAAATGAAGGACTAGTAGTTAAAAAATCCAACATATGATTGATATGATAGAACTAACTCAAAGAAACATGCAATTCTTGGGAAAATCACTGAGATGTTCAAAATTTGGCTGACCGTATAGATTAAATGATAAAATTGGAAGAACTTCATGATGTGAAGTTAGATTTGTGCTAGACTGCTACCCAAGATTGACATAAGCATGAAAGTGGAAAACGGAACCATCTGGGAAGATGAATACTTGTCCTGCACTAATAATTATGAGGTGTGGGAATGTGTGATGGTACAACAAGGGGGTGGTTGAAATCAAATTGGAACTTGCCAAACCTAAATTTGAGCGGCAAGTAGTCAAGATTCAAGGGCCTAAGACTAAGACTAAGGTGTCTGAAGGGAGTTGGACCTCGGTGGAAGCTATAGATGTAACCAGGTGCTTATGATGTATGGTTGGAGTTTGAACATTTATGTAATTTAGTACTTGATTTTTTGAGTTTCCAGCCATGTCTAGGAATTTCCAGATTGTTACTATCAATTTCAGATTCTTGTCAAGGTAGGTCAGTGCTAAATTGCAAAACAATTTTGGTGTGCACTGTGTTCGAAGATAGACACGACCCAGGTGGTGTTGGATTTTCACATATTATGATTGATTTGCTAAATCCTCCTCGTGCTTATGTGGTACTCATTTGGAGCCCCCGTACAGAATTGTTTGATGGAAATTGGAAACATCCCTTATTTTTGTTACACCTTGGAGTAAGCTACTTAAAGAGCAATTGCATACTTAAAATTTGTGGCTTATTTTGTTGGGGTGTTAATTGTTGGCATATGCTGAAATAAATGGCAAGCGTTGGGTTGAATGAGGGCAGTTAAATGGGAATATTAGCATACTCTTTGCTAGGTCATGGTGATTTCTAGGGAGGCAAGTAATATTAACTGTTATATGTTGGCGTCTGGGTGTAGTCGATATATGGAATAGTTTAAGTTTATCAGCATGGTTTGAGAGATTCGTTCATAGGAAGTGGTTATAAAAATAAATGGAGAGGACGCCAGATGGGCGGTGCTGATAATGAGTTCTCCAAATAGCTTGGAATTGGGAGAATAAGAGGAAAGTTCTCAAATTTCATCCTTCTTTTTTTCTATCTTTCCTTCATTCTAGTACGAATATCAATTTGGTTCATCAATGTGATGGCATATGAAGCTTTTGATACAGAAGCACCAAAATGAACATAAGAGAAATGTCTGACAGGACATTCTTGAATAATTTAGTACAATTATCAATATGATTATACTTCTCTCTGAATAAAATGAATTGGTGTGGAGTGATTGTAAACCAGTCGATTGGGTCCACTATTTTTCTATGTTGCTCTTCGTGAGGGCAAGTCGATTAAATAATTTGTACATTGCAGATTGTAAAGTTGTGTGATGTAGATGTCTCGCCATTGTCAAAACTTAAGCATCTTCTGAAGTGTTTGCTTTCTATCACAGTTCCTAGGAACTTCCGGCTGCTGGAGGAACTTGAACGTGGAGAAAAGGGCATTGGCGATGGTACTGTGAGCTATGGAATGGATGATGGAGATGACATTTATATGCGTTCATGGACTGGCACCATTATTGGTCCACACAATGTAATGGCTTCTGCCCTTCTTTTCAGGAATTTTAGTTCATTGCCTTGCTCGTGAAGAAAATTTGAAAATTTATAATTCATACTTTCCACCAAATATATATATAATGCATCAACTATCATTCATTGCTATAGGCACTATTCCAGCTCTTTTCCAATTGTAATTAGCTTACATGTCCTTCTTCTTGAATTTTGGAGGAAAGTTCTTCTTCTTTTTTTTTTTTTCCAAAGCTTTGTATCAACAACATGAGGGGGCAGGGTCTGTAAATGGTTGGTACGATAAATGCTCTCAGGAGTTTTAAGCAGAAAATTGGCGGTCTACCTTATTTTACAATTGCTATTTTATGGCTATACGTATAGTGCAGTAAAAATTCATCATGCTTCTTTTTTTCTTGCAGACGGTACATGA